TGAGACCGGATCCAAAGTTCATAAACCTTTCCTCTACCTAAACAAACAAAAGAAGTTATTATTTCTACTTCATTAGTCCCTTCAAATTAATAAACATCGTTACACAAACATAATTATAAATTAACATACCTTTGAATATGATATCCATTGGTATGGCGAATTGCTGTCCTCCCTCCAGCCCAAGCAATCACCATCATCTTCAAGAGAAAGAAACAGTGTAGTGTCAGTAATTAGCTTTTACAAGTACAGCACAAGTTGCTACTTTGTACAAGTTATGAGTATTAACAATTTAACGTACTGGAAAAGCCCTTTCCACATTGAAATGCTTCATACAAGGTTTGTGCATCTTCAAATCTGTAACAGAGTAGTTCTCCATTTTGACATAAATGGGATATTCTCTCTCCTCCCTGTTATGGTAGAAAAATTAAGAGAGGAGAGATAGAGAGGGGACAGTAATGGTCATGTAAAAGCTTAGCTTTTTGTTGCAATTACTGACTGGCAATAGAATGCTTTGTTCTTCCATCGGTATAACAGAGTGGAGGGCACTCTCAGCACGCCTTCTGCTCGTTCCCCTCAAACTGTTCGTCAAGCTATCCATTACTGCAGGCCTGATCTGAGTAGATATGGAGACAAAGGGCAAGCGGATTCACAAGTTGGATCACTATTGGCAACTGGGAACAACCAGTCGATCAGGGCAGTGTGAATATTGATTGCTTTGATTGCTTTGAATCTTAGTAATGAAATGGGTGCGTCTCTGCTGACAATTATATTATGGTTTAGGAATGTTATCTACAACACTAGCTGTACATCTTATACAAAATAAAGTCTGGAAATCTTGCAACATGCAGTGGCTAGATCTATTGCATTGATTGTTCCTCTCAGCTCAGCTTAAAAGCTTTTTGTTTGCAAATAATAGAGGACCATGGAATGGAAAATAAAATAGCCAAGACCAAATTCATTTTTAACTCTTTCCAGACTGTATTATTTTCTGATACTAATGGACAGACTAATCAAGCTATACCCTCTTTCAAACTACACCTTTGGTACCAAAGAGCCTTTGTATGAGAAGGACAGGACAGTGGAGTCACGTTTCCTCCGTCTCAAGGAAGACTATGAGAAGACAGGAATGAGAAGAAGTGTTGATGGAGTAGTACTAGTTCATGAACACAATCTACCTCATGTACTGCTCCTACAGTTAGGTAAAGAGGTTAATCTAAATCCAATATGTTAAACGTTCATTAAAATTAATTCACACTATTTTTCATATTTAACTTTCATTCTGGTACCCATGATGTGTGTAATAAGATTTGGTTTAGTAAAAAATATTTTTTATTATTCCTGGCTGTAGTGGGAGGTATAATAGGCTCGTTATGAATATTTTTATTTATTTTTATTAGTTCTAATGAATATTGCATTGTGCATGTGTGTGGCATGCAGGGAACAATGGATAGAATCACAATGACATCCTGTTAATATTCAATGCACCAATTCTATTGAACATATGGCCAAGAGTAGATATGGTTTTTGGAGGAACTTTTAAAATTTGTAAAAAATCCAATTTTAATCGGAATGAGCTCAAACTTTCTACGCAACAGAAGAACATGTATATGTATCAGAAAATGTAATAAAAATGGAGAATTCTCTACTTTTCAATTTTGGCGAAATTTGACCAAAGTCCCTGTACTATAGTACAGGGTATTTTGTCAAATTTTGCAGCAACTTTAAAGATTTGTAAAAAATTTAATTTTGATCGGAATGAGCTCAAACTTTTTACACAACATAAGAAAATGTATATGTATCAGAAAATATTATAAAAATTGAGAATTCTCTCTGAGCCATTTTTGACAAAATACCCTGTACCATATAGTACAGGGTATTTTGTCAAATTTTGCAGCAACTTTAAGAATTTATAAAAATGTACTGACAGATTCAGAACACTATACCAAAGTCATTAGGGAAACCTTGTATGCAATAGATCTGTGAGCAGCTAATATCTATAAATATTATTTCGTAATTTTTGATAACTATAGGTAGCACTTTTTTCAAACTTCCATCAGGAGAGGTTGGCCCAGGAGAGAGTGAAGCAGAGGGTGTCCAAAGGATTGTTAACGATACCCTGGGCAAAGAAGACACTCCTCTCTCAACCTGGATCGTTGAAGACGTAGTCGCCAACTGGTGGAGACCAAACTTTGAATCTCCACAATATCCGTACATACCAGCACACTGCACTCACCCTAAGGTACAGACTCATTCTCATGCTCCAGTATGAGAGTTTGGGAATGAAAAAAACATATAATTAACAAATATATAACTTTTTTATTTTAGGAGCATAAGAAGTTATTTCTTGTTCAGTTACCAGAAAGGACAATGTTCCATGTTCCTCGAAACTATAAACTTGTTGCTGCTCCTTTGTTTGAACTGTATGACAACTCTGCTGGTTATGGACCAGTCATAGCTGGTCTCCCACAAAACTTGTCTCGATTTAATTTCATTTATATTTAAAATAAAAAAAAGGAATTAAAACAATAACTCTAGTCAATTATTCTTAGCAAATAGCTTCTAAAATGTTTAGCAAAATAGCATGTGAAATAGCATAGAGTTTATGATGGCCTTGTCATGAGGTCGTCAATCATTTTCTTCCAACCATCAAAATCGAGTTTAACTGCGTCATAATCATGGACACCATTAATGATGTACTGTGGAGTGCCGGTGATACCGCGACTGGCAGCGTATCTCCATGCATTACGAGACTTGGTGTCAACCCTTTCACTCTTAAAACCAGCCATCACTCTATGAAGAAAGAAAAACCACTTCCATAATTAAATACTCCACTAAATATATGATTATACTTAGATGATGTAATATTGTAGCTTGGTTATTGTTAATGAAGAATGAATAGTGGTACATGTGTGTCACATGCAGCATATAAATATTGTTAAAAGGAGAGAAATGAAGTGTTCTAGATCTACTTTAATTTTTTCTTGGCTTACTTTTCTTTGGATACTTTGGTAGCAGTCTCAGTAAATTCTGCTATCTTTGCTTGTACTTGAGGCTCAGTCATGTCAACAGCTCCAGTCAAAAACTCTATAACATAAATGAATGCATAATAATTGCATCTCTATTCAATGAGCATGTAGCTCTTTTAAAATACTAGTAGATACTCTACATTATATTGAATATTTACCTTCTTGTTGCTTGAAGGCCTGTTCCAGGAATGTTACAAAGGCATCATCAGTCTCATTCCTATCACCACGTGTTTCATTTCTCACCACCTCACCAGCTTTCTGCATGAAGAATGCATTATGATGGTTGCTATATGGAGAAGAATAAATCACCAAGAGAATCATATGTAGTGTGATTTGCTACTAACACCAATGGAAAGATATGGATCAGTATCTCAAGACCTTGTTTACCAGAATACTCTGATTCAATCTACATGGATTGATGAATGCATACGGTGTAAGAGCTCAGTTTGATGCTTACCTGCTTCAGTGTGGGCCAACTAGCTGCAGAATCATCGCATAAACTGAGCAAAAATTAGCATTTAAAATAAAGTTGCATTTCTTTTCCTGCTTACTGGTCATAGAAGACTTCAAGGACAACTTTAGGACGGGCATCATCCAAATAAACAAAACCTAAAAATGGTGAAAAAAATGATACTTAAAAGCAATAGTGTCATGATAATAAATAATAAGACACATAGATTTGTTCCTTCATTATACATTTTCCTATTGCAAATATACTTTATAGCTTTATTGTTAGTAAGCTGCACTATCAGTACTGTATGTCTGAACTGGTGAACTATGTGAAAGTCTATTCTTACCAAGAGGTCTTTCTGGCACTGCCTCCTGTCCAGAAACAGCACAAGCAAAAGAAGCAAGGACAAAGCAAGCTATATAGAAGGACTTCATTGCTCCTTTAGTTGAGAAGAAGAAACTGCTGACACTGACTAGCTAATGATGAGTGCTGGAGTAATTTATGATTATCCAAAAAAGGAAATGATGTATCATATGAATATTATGAATGATGTGTTTTTGCATGTAAAGAGTCTATCAATCATTTCTGTCTTTGAATGATGTCATTAGTAAGTGAATGTAGTTTATGCTTCTCTTCACAGTCACTGAACTGGGCCAATACACCTACTGCATTGCCAGCATACTGTCTGGCTAAACTTAAACTTTTCTCTAAAGCTGATGACTACAAAAAAGGAAAAGAGAATAAATCATAAAATAACTCTGCAACAAAATTATTGAAGTTTTAAGAGGGAACTTACATCAAGTACAGCTGCTAGAGCATACTCAACATCTCCCTTCTCCTTAAACTGCCTCTTTATTAACTTAAGTAACTCTGGTCTCTGGGGAAAATGATTAGTGCTCATTTCTTTAATTTATGATTAATATACTTCTTCTAATGCG